CTCGGCAACGGTTGTTTCATCATCAAAATTTGGGTATTGACCAATATCAAAATCATTACACGCAGGGTCTGTTTCTTCTTCTGAAACATCATCAAAATCTGAGTATTGACCAATATCAAAGTCCGGGTATTGACCAAGATCAAATTTCGAATACTGACTAGTACTCACAATTTTTTCTGTTGGCTCATCATCGTCTAATTGGTCAATACGAAAACCGGAATTTGGTGCTGAAAGTTGATTGAGATTTGGATTAGAGAAAGGTTGTGGGTTTTGAGAAAAACTTAGTTGATTACTACCCGCTACTGACCCAACAATACTACTTCTAGGTTCAACAACATACAATGTAACATCATCACTTGAAACACTAATGTAAGCAATGAATCGTTCAACATCTTCATTGTCGGTTAACAAATAAACTTTACCATTCCTCTGATAAGATAGCCTAAATCCACTTAGGGGCTCTAAATTCAATTTCTTTGAAACACGTAACATTAGAGTTTCATAAGTTAACTTTTTTAATGATAGTTTTAGTTGAAGATTCATGGGTAAAGGCATATATTGTAAAACACCATGAACATTCTCCCATGACCCTCCAAAACACAAATCTATCCAAACATGATCAACATTAGATGATTTCATGGTTGTAAATTAATTTACTAAACAAACGAGCTGCGAAACTAAGACCTGTTGCCGGATGGGGAAGGATGTAGGAACGGATATAGGAACGGATATCGCCGGAGAGAGTGATAGATGGAGATGGAATGAGTTGCGATTTAGGGATTTAGGTTATGAGTTGTTGCTTCTGCGTAGATATATACACAAAAAATTTGCGTTGCGAAACTAAAACCTATTGCAAACTTTGAAAATCGCATTGCGATTCTGTATTATCTCGTTGCGAAAGTAAGTATCGCGTTGCGATTTTCCTATTTCGCAATGCGAATAAGTAAATCGCAATGCGAATTTGGAAAATCGCAATGCGATACTGATTATCGCAACGAGATAATACAAAATCGCAACGAGATTCTGACTTTCGCAACGAGATTCTGAAAATCGCAATCATCTTCAAAATCCCAATCACAACCAGCTTCACCTTTTTGGGACTGTTAACTTAGGTGATTTTTAAATGCAAACGTTGTATTATGTGTATTTTATGTGTGCACTTTTAACATTTTCAGTTAGGCATGTATTAGTAACTTGAGTTTGAACATTGCTATGATCTGTTCAGTTGTTATCACTTATTAGACATTCATTTGACTATCGCAACGGGGAAATCGCAACGCGAAAATGGCTATCGCAATTCGAAATGAAAAATCGCAACGCGAAAATGGCCATCGCAACTAGAAAATCGCAATGCGAAATGAAAATCGCATTGCGATTTTCTCGTTGCGATAGTCAGTTTCGTGTTGCGATAGTCTATTTTGCCTTCAACATAATGCAGATTGAAAATCAACAAATCAACTATTACATTTCAATCAATTAAACAAGCACAAATAAGAATTATGTACACACCAATTAAACAAATCAACATTTACAAATCATTTTTTACAAATCAATTAAACAATAAAAAATAATAATAATTCTTATTTCCTCATCAATTATTGAATCAATGAATCAACTTTTGCACCCGTACATCCATTTCACGCAGCTCACTTAAGGATTAACCTGCAAAAACCAAACATTTGCTCAAACAAGACTTCCTACACATCTAAAACCTACAAACAACAAATTATTGAATTATAGGTACTTAACCAAACATTTTCAAACCAAAAGGAGTATATATATTAACAAAACTTGCATTTGACTTACCAATTAACAATGGATACTTTCATAACGCGGATGCAGGTAGGCAGCGTCTAGAATATATCGCTCTAGCCATATAATGCCGAAACCACAAGCCTACTGCAGCTCTATCTCTATCGGTGGGAGGTAGAAACTCTGTGCTTCCCGTCGTCAAACGCGCCAAGCACATGCATACGAGAGGACCACAATCCCCTCTGCCTCCCGGCGATTGTTGTGGCACGGTCTCGTCTCTGACAACTGTGACATTGAACTTCTTTGGCTTCTTGTGTCCAGAATGAGTCCAATAATTAATCCCATCCAAGAATTTAGCCAAATGAGAGCTCCATCCCTTGATAATATCTCTCAAATCAGACAGTGGTATGTAATTTATCATGCTGTCATATACTATTATCTTCAGGGATGGGAGCTGAAGTTGGACGAGAAGCCAATGACGACGTTCCAAAACAGGGATAAACACCTGCAATCATAAGTAATAATTCATTTATTTGCGCACTTATTTATGAACACCTTTAAAAAATTTTAAAAATAAACACTAACCTTATCGACCTCCCACCATGCAGGATAAAGTTTAGCTTGTCCGTTGCCCAACGAAAATGATTCATCTCGTTGATTCTTCAAGTGAACTGCGTGAAAAGCCGCCGGAAGTGTATTATCCACAATTGTTTCCGATAGTTGTCTCCTCTCCACTTCAGATACCGGAAGGGTACTAGCCGGTAACTCATACGAGAGCCAACTCTCATCCATCATGTCCGGAACTGGTGGGGGTTTCTCAATACTTCGATATATTACCCCATGTGAATCGGGCTTTGGAATGGTAGGAGGGACCTCTTCAACGATGACAGTGGCCTCTTGAACGGTGGGGGGGACTCTTGAGGGAGGATAGGGGCCTCTTGAACGATTGGAGGGGACTCTTGAGGGATGACAGGTGAGTCAGGCTTCTTCTTGCGGAGTCTTCACACCATTGGGGTGAACGGAGACGTAATAACACGTCCATGCCGTCTGATGCGTGAACTCCGTCGTGCAAGGAAAACCCGACGTAAAGCATCCACCTTATCGGGCCGCTAAAAAAAATTAATACATAAATTAGTAAATAAACAGACATGATATTAAACAAAGACAAATATGTTTCAAACTAGCATTGTATTCACCCAAGTCATTATTCTATCATAGTTCACAAAATGCTCAGATAACATTTCAGAAGTAAGCACTTATATAAACATTTAAAAGGACAACATATATAAACATTCCAGAAGAAGAATAGTTTACTTTCGCAACACGAAACTTAAAATCGCAACACAAAAATGACTATCGCAACGCGGAAATGGCTATCGCAATGCGAAATGCAAATCGCAACGACAAAATCGCAATGCGAAATGAAAATCGCAACGACAAAATCCCAATGCGAAATGAAATCGCAACGACAAAATCGCAACGCGAAACACAAATCGCATTGCGATTTTCATTTCGCATTGCGATTTTGTCGTTGCGATTTTCATTTCGCATTGCGATAGCCATTTCCGCGTTGAGATAGTCATTTTCGTGTTGCGAAAGTAAACTATTCTTCTTCTGCAAATTGAAACTTGAATGGATTGCATTACTTCAACCAAAAGATAAAAACAAAACCAAAAAAAATTACTAACAAAAACAGTTTTAACAGTATTGGCAGCAACCGAATGAATTACGAGTATGAAAAATCTTAAACTTACCTCGTTGCGTAGAGTATGAACCTCATTCTGCAACGATGCTACCATCTCACGTAGAGCGGCTACCTCACCGCGTAATATAGACACCTCAACACGCCATGCACCATCGTCTTTGCGTAAAGTACCGACCTCCTCACGCAAGGCATTGACCTCATCACGTAACTCCCCTAACTCATCCCGTTGAGGTGGAGAACAGGGAGATAAACGTCGTGGCATCTTTGCCGGTCGCCTATCTTGCGGTGATGGTGGAGAAGAGGCTCGATGATGTGACAAATAGGTGATGGCTGTCGTTGTGGAGGTGTATAGTCGGGTCGATCAGATGATGGCTCTGGGTGAGGTGATAGCTCTGGGCGAGGTGATGGCTCCCGAAGTGGAGGCTGCTCATCAACCGTTCCATCAAAAAAACGCTTACTAGCTTGCCACCAATCAGTGGCAAGCTCAGCTTCCGTGGGTGTCAGCCTCTGTAGAGGAGTATTGGCCTCCTAACAATATAAAAGCTCAAACAAAGTTAAACGTGTACTAGTAATAACTTGTTTATAAACATATGGTAGTATTTATGTTAACTTACATTATTTATTGTCGTATACCGTAGTAAATCTTCCCATTGCAAGGTCCGTTTCCTCTTCCAGGAAATAGCCCTGAGAATATCATTTGAAGTTTTTATTGCATATGTCTTCATGGCGGGAAAGGCCTCAAATATCCAAATCTACAAACAATATAATAACAAACATTAGTAATTGTTAAATAATTACTTATAATTTTGGAAACATTATATAAAAATTCTTACCTTAAAGGCCCAAATAAAGCCTGTCAAAGTGTATTTGGAACCATCGCCATGCAAACCTTTTCAATCATCCAAGGCAGACGATAACTTATTCCATGTAGCTTTCCATAAATACGAGCCCCACGGAAACAGGTTCCACGCATTTAGGTCTTCTACCAATTTGATTAGATCATTTGGAATAGGTTGTCTGGCCTCTCTGCCTAAAAAGCCGGCATGCAAAAGAATTAGAAGGCATACTCGGACAACGTCGACGTCATCCATCCGAGTAAAACCATCTTTCTTATTCAACAATCTTGTCAGGTCTTCTACGTGTAGATTCGGCCTCTCCAGCTCAAGAAAAACCCAGGATAGCCATGATGGGCGGGTAATGTGTCTAGTGTACCGACCTACATCATCGTGTCCGAAGCGTAGACCGATGATTAAGCAAAACTCCTCCCGCCCAAAACACGTATACGCCGGTGGAAAATCAAACCATATCTCTTCATCACGACGTTGTATAGTCTCTGGTAGATCGCTAGTCATGGTTTGAAGAAACAGGTGTGTCAACATGATTTCTTCTTTCTCATAGTCTTCTTGTCTGTAACAATTCAAATCTATAGTTATGGATTGATCCATCTACACCGAAACTTTCCTTCTTTCATGATTTCTTCTTTTTTGTCATCTTTTCTTTGTTGTGTCTTAATCTAGTCTCTGGATTGGAAAGAAACAGCACAATGAGTGTGAGTTCAAGCACTAGCACTAGCACGGGAGGAAGCCGCCAGTCGGCACAAATAATTCGCGAATTCGCTAAGCTAGAAGGGGGTGGCAATGCCAGAGGCCAAGCCGATGCTATCAGATTCCGTCTTGTATCATACAACATTTTGGCTCAGGTAGTTTTTCTGTTCTCATTTTCTTTGGGGTTGGGAGGTCTACTCCCTTTATTCAGATTATCAGTCAATGCTTGTATTTGTTTTTTGCACCCGTAGGTGTACACCAAGGACCACTTTTTTCCGCATTCTCCGCCTCCCTGCCTCCGGTCAGCTCGAATCAAACAATCACTTCACATATATTTCTTTATGTCTTTCCAATTTTACTGGTTTTGATTCATTATTGTTCGGTACATACTATATACTACATATGTATCTGCCTCTATTGATGTCTGCTGTGTTTATACACAAGTGATGGCTTGGTACTCTAAATATAATCCATCAACATCAAACCCTGCTGTTTCAGATGGAACGATCGTTCTCGAGAAATTTTAAATCTTCTTAAAAACCTTGGATCTGACTTTTATTCCCTTCAGGTTTGTTTTCCTTCCTTCCAATGAAATTCATAGATTTTCATTTTTTTCTACTCTTCTATGCATTTGGCTCTATATATCTGTGTGTACATTGAGTGCATATGTCCATAACATTCTGATTTCACTTATATATGTTCTAAACTTGTACCAGGAATTAGATGAGTTCGACTCCTTTTACAAAAAAAAGATGGAGGGCCTTGGCTATTCTGGTATATATATTCAGAGAAGCGGACAGAAGCGTGATGGATGTGGAATATTTTATAAGAAGAACCGGTGTGCTTAAACTACTATGTTTTTCTTTTTCCTTTTACAAAACAATCTCCTTCAACATGTCTTACTAGAATATATACTAGAATTTTGACTCATTTTTGTTTACAAAAAGCTGTCGTACCATCTTATTTTCCTAGCTATCATTGCACAATTGTTTCAGTGCAGAATTGCTCTTAGAGGAAATGGTAGAATATAATGATCTTGTACCCCCAGTACATGGTGAAGCCTCATCTTCGGATAAGCGGAATGCTCCACTGACCAACAGAAACAACAGGGGTGATCCAAAGCAAGGTAACCTTATCTATTGGTATATTTCCTTTCTGCATCCAACCACACTTGCATTATACTTGTTGCTTGATATTTTGTATTCTGGTGGTTCACCGCTTGGATGATTTGTTGGAAAAATTCTCAGGATTGTCAGTAACAAGTAGTCCACAGCATCATGGAGATCCCAATGATCCACGCGTAAGATTTAAAAAGGATTGTGTAGGAATTATGGCTGCCTTTAAATTCAAGCATCCTCCTCATCATGTCGTCATTCTAGCAAACACTCATCTTTATTGGTAAACAATCCAAAATTTTCATTCATCCATTCTCTATAGCTATCATGTGTTCTACATTTTAGATTTCAAGAGTTGGCTGTGCTGAAGCATATGTACGTTTTGTTATAATTTTCTTTTACAGGGATCCAAAATTGGCTGATGTTAAGCTTGCCCAAGCCAAGTATCTTTTAGCACGCTTAGCTCAGTTTAAAACACTTGTGACTGACAGATTCAAATGTACTCCTTCAGTAATTTTGTGTGGTGACTTCAACTCAACTCCTGGAGATGAGGTATGCCTTGAGTGGTTACCAACAGCCTGTTTTTCTGTTAATTTCTGCAACATTCTGAATGTTGTGAGTTATATTTTGCAGGTTTATCAGTATATTATTTCTGGTAACACTTTGTCAGCATCATCAGATAGACCTTTGGAAGAACTTCCCCTTCCCTTGTGCAGCGTTTATGCTTCCGCTAGAGGAGAACCACCATTTACGACCTGCACCCCCAAGTTTAAAAATACACTTGACTATATTTTCTTTTTTCCGTCTGATGGCCTAATGCCTGTCAGCATTCTCCAACTTGCAGAGTTGGATTCGCCTGATGTTGCTGGTGGATTGCCAAATTATAGCCACCCGAGTGATCATCTGCCAATAGGTGCTGAATTTGAAATTACCAAAGGCAAAAATGCTCAAATCCGAAAATCCATTTAGCTGATGAACTGAATTTGGTCTGTTCGATGCATTCTGGTTCTTGAATTGGAATTGTGTAATCATAAAGTTGGGTACTACTGTATGACATTTTGCTATGGGATAAGTTGGATTGGGCAACTCTATACAGATGGGAGATGAAAGAGAGAAATATGGTAAATTATGAGTAGAGTAGCACTTGCTTTATGTCTATGAATCAGCTTTGCAAATTGCTGAGGTAAGCGATTGATGGATAAGCACTAAAACCAGAACCACTCACATACAATGTCTATGTACCTTAATGTGGGATTTCTTGTTAGCAATGGTGAATGATATGTTTTTTATTACATCATCACCGTCGTCGTCATCCTTATGATATATTCAACGAATGCTTCATTGCATTCTATATGAGGCTTTGTAACATATTAGAACTGAGTTACTGAGAGATGATGGAGAATCTGAAAGAAATAGAACTGCAATGAACTTGTGGAAAAAGTCCATCGTGAAAGCTCCGAGTGATTATCTCTCACAGTGCGTCACCATATTCTTGCACTTTCAAACCTCGATATTCTCTCGGCCGCTTTCCCATGACGTACTTGTACTTGTATCGTCACAACAGATCAAATAGAGATTTGATCAAAGACAGCAACACATTGTTTGAGTCGCTCAAGATTTCTCTCGCCAAAACTCCAAGTTACTACTACCCTTTTGCTGGTTGAATAGTTGAAGACCCACAGATAAGCCGGAGGCGAATCATATGTGACAACAGTGGTGCACTTCTAGTGCAGGCGCTGGCCAATATCCCTTTGAGCCAACTAGATTTCTACAATTTGAAGCGGACCCTCGTAGGGACAGTCATGCCCTGCCTCAACGTCGACGAGTTTCCTTTTCCCGTGCAGGTCCAATTAACGTATTACACTTGTGGAGGGTTGCCCATTACTTTCACATTCGACCATGCTCTATAGGTGATGCCTATGCTTTCGGCAACTTTCTCTCCTCGTGGTCCCGGCAAATTTCAATGTCGTTAGTTATGAAAGTCAAATTAGCTGAATACAAACTTTTTCTCTAATGATTTAAAATATAACTCCAAGATTTTTCGCATATACATTGTTTTTATTTTCTTATAAACAATTATTTATTTTAGTAAAAATAAATATTAAATAATTATAACTTATGGATTCATTTTATAATTATTTTCATATCAGTTAATTTTTAAATCATCTAAAACTTTCCCCTTCTGGTATGTTGGTGTATTTTATTACATTATAATGTTTTTTTAGGTGGTTTAAATTTTATAATAAATATTTTTTTATATTCGTGTTATTTTTGTAACACTCAAAACGCGACAATGGATGATAACAAGGATCATTTCTGCTCTTAGAGGGAGGGGGGAAAAAGGAGTAATACTAGCTGTGTCTGTGTAATGACAGTGCTTCCAGGTATAGGCTGTGCAATAGTAGTACTCGAAGAGGTAGAAGAGACACTCAGATTAAACAATAAGTCAGCACATCACCCTACCCTTGTGGAATATATGAATGAATGGTAGCCGATGCTCGAAATCCCAAGAAATACGCAATTTACAAACGCCGGAAAGTCGAGGAGCCCGGTTAACAAGACTCGGATATTCCTTCTAACCAAAATCTGGAGGAACCCAATGATCAGACCATCTCATCATCATTTGCCTAGAGTCATCCCGCTTCGCATAAACCCGGTTTTGCTTGTAACATCTGGCAATGAATTCAATGCAATTTATTAAAGATCGAGCAAAACGCATTAATGCCCATGAGAAAATATTTTTGGTTTTTCTAGGCAAAGTAATGAGAGTCAGAGTCCCGTTCTAACAAGGGATAGCAAAACTAAATGTGAAAAAAAGATGTTTAGAATTGACTGGAGAAGATGCATACCAAAACTTCTGCAAAGCCTGTCCTAAACTTTCACCATTTGTGTCTCGGCTAGCGAGGAATTAAGGTCTTCTCGTGATTGTGATCTCCTACTTTGCAGTCGCATCTGACTTCTGTGAGGGGACCAGAAGGAACCCATGCTACTACTGTCAAATTGCATCTGCCCCAAGCTGCTGGAGGAATAACTATGTGAAACGCTGCTGGTTGAGGGGTACAACGAAGACTCGGTGAGTTGGATGCTGCTGCCCAGACCATGTCCCAAGCCAAATGGTGTTTGTTGACTACCTTGAACTGTTGGACTCAGGGGCATCTTAATTCTTCCATCTCCTGTAAAAGAGAGAGAATGAGGATCATAGTAACATTCATAATGAAGCCAAGTTCATTCAATAACATTCAAGAACCTCTATAGGAATTACTTAGGTTCATATACTGAACAGACATTTCAAGTTCATTAAATGTAAGTTAATGGATCATGTACCAAGCCAACTTAGAATAGCATCCCTTATTTGCCGACACAAATAGCTGAGGGCATATCACATCCAAATTATTGTGTCCGAAAAATCCTTGAAACTGAGGCACTTTTGAGTGCTCAAAGATATGTAATGCTAACTGCAAATTTTGAGTATCCCAGTAATAAAAGTATAAGACCGAGAACTTCATCATTAGTCGTATCCATGTTAAAAAATATTCTTGATGCATCTATATAAACATTAAGTTTGTAAGGTGTGGCTCTTGGTTCAAAAATCTTAACAAGAGAACAGCACCATTGCTTTTGAAGCCTATTTTGGAGCAGAAGGCCTTATGCAGATGGACAACGGTGACTAAAATTGGACAGTAGGCATTCTTGCATGGAAGGAAGGTATCCGTTAACATATTTGAGAGGATATTTTTCTCTCATGGAAAACATAGCCAAGAAAAGCAGTAGAATTATGCCCAAATAATAGGTCATACAAGAGATCTTACCTGAGTTCACAGGACTCCAGCGCTTGAACCGGAAAGGAGATGGTATATTAAGAACAGATGTAGATCCACTGTTATGCTGGAAAAGAGGAAGATATGGACTCCGGAAAAATCTTGGCATCCAGTTACTAACACATGATAAAGCACAGACAAGCAAAACCAATGACATTAACAGAATGGCAATAAGAATGACTGGATCAATCTTGGTCTGCAATATTTGATATCCATGGAGCCCTAGTCCGCTTGAAAATGACTTCCCAGCTTCCAACAATGCAACACCCATTGTCCATGTAATACTTCCAGAACCAACGACAAGTTGACTGTCTGAGATGTGCAAACCCTCTCTCAACAGTGATACTATATACGGTGCTCTAAAGCAGTACTGCTCAATAAAGGGCTGTGGAGCAACACTGTTTCTGGCCACTTCCCAGGTTTTTTCACAAAATTCCCTACCCTTCTCTAGTACATCATCAAGTGCAGCTTCTGGAGACAAATTGAAGAACCGAAATACAACAAAAAAGCCAGATAGAGCATAGAACTGGCCATAAGGACGAGGCAAGCTATCAGAAAGTGCACAAGGCTGCAAATCACAATCAATCCCTGGGTATAGGTTGGACCATTCAGCTAAATTGACAGCAGCTTTGGCAATTGCACTGCATTGCTCCCAATTTGGAGCACCAGTAAGCTGCACTGGTATTCCAGATTTTCCTCCTTTATCCAAAATTTTCCCTTGAACTAAAGGACTCCCACTTTCTTGATCTTTTGAAGCACATTGAGAACAAATATACTGTTCATTGTAGCCAGAGTTCAAGCAAGGATGTTTAATTTCTATCTTTCCATTAGCCCGGTTGGCAATGGAGCCATCTCGAAGCCTCTTTAATAAATGAACTACAGACTTTTCAAATGCATCATTCAAACCATAGCCAGAGAGAGAGTAAGCACTAAGATGATGATTAACCACTCCAATTTTGAGGTTTAAGTTGGTTTCATTATGTTGGCGGTGCTCATTCTCAAATGTAACTTGTAATGATGATCCACCCAAATCAAGTGCACCAAATGTTGCCTTCTTAGGGGTTGTTCCCAACATGCCTGTGAGATAGTTAAGGGCTGTCCACCCAAGGTAAGCTTCCTCTGTCCCACTGATAATCTTAACCCACTCTCTGCGGCTCAAGAAAGGTGAATGCTTTAGTATTGACCAAGCATTTTCCAGAAGCCATTTTGAATCAGCATTAGGCAACCTGCGAACTCCAGCTGTAGCATACAGGAAAAGACAAGTATTCTTATGCTCACGTTCAGGTATTTGCTTCTGTGCCCATGAAATAAGTGGGTGTATTGCAGTCGCCAAGCCAGATTTATTGTGCACCAACTTATGAAGCCCAGGCTCAGTTTCCATCCTATCATAAGCACGTCCACTTTGTGTGCTTGGCTTTCTAGAAAGACCTCCAGTTAATGATTTCATGACAATAGGCAGACTACCATCATTCTTGGGATCAATTGAGGCCTGATAAACGTAAACTCGAGTTCCAGTACTTCCACAATCAAGAACAACATAGAACTTGGAAGCTCCTCTAGACCAATTTGAATAAATATACATGCAAACCACGTATGCCAAAAAAATGAACAAGAGTAGGCACAAGAAAACCATGATAAACCGCACCCACTTTCTCATTAGAAATGGGGTTCCACCTGGAAAACCCTTCTCTTTCGAGAAACTTGCTGCAACATTTTCTTTCTGTAGAGAGGGTTTCGAATAGGTCATGCTCTTGTCAATTTCAGAAAAAAGATTAGCTGCTTCTGGATCAAGACAGTGATATGATGAGAAATCTTGGAGTGATGCAGAAAGGCGCAAATTATTTTTGTTTCCAGAGTTAGCAAAACCAAACCCATGGAGAACATTTTTATCTGTATGTGGTGACAAAGCAGGCGACATGCATGAAGCTGCAGAAGACCGCGTAGCAGATAAAAGATTCGATGCACCAGATATCGCTTCTGCAATTCTACTAAATACCATAATTCTATTTTGAATACAAATTAACAGCTTTTCATTGGGCATATGTTTCCAATATTGAAATTTCTAATTTACCTGCCGTGCTGTTCGAATACTATCTGAGACAACCCACATCATACTTGCAGTTGCAATTGAATTCAATTCAAAGATTACATTGATTTTGCCAAAATCGTCGCAGGATGAAGGTACCAGTGTGACAACCAAGCAGGCAAGATCAGAGATCACGAATCCTAAGTGCCAAAAATCAAATCAGTGGTGTACATTTGAAAGAAATAACCCGAAAATCGCGTGATGCAGGAGATATACAATCAAAAACGAGAATTGAAAATCGCAAGAAAATGTATACAGAAAATCATGTTCATTTCGCAAAATTTATACAAGATATTGAGGTGCGCGCAAAAGAAAGATTGATCTCCAATAAATTCTAGTATTATAAGTAAACGACTAAAACCAAGTTGGAGGAATACCTCCAGGCAAGTGTTGATAGCGGCACTTGCTCAGATCTCCGCCTTGTTCTTCGCAGTCTTTGAAAACCAAAATTTAAGCAAAAGTTTTTCACAATCGAAGTGTCAGTTGGAAGATTCAGTACCTCAGATCCAATGGAAAGCGTAATACTTTTTGGCCTTTGGGTCTCTCTTCTTTCTTTTCGTTCTGGTTTCTGCAGAAACCTTCTTCTTCTTCTTTGTATCTCAGTTTCTATAATATTTATTTCTTTGTAATTCCATCATTTACCCAATCTTCTTCCATCTTTTCTACATTGACCCCTTCAAGTTGTTGTTGTTAGTCAATTTCACCTTCACACCTATTTTTCTCTCATTTATTTATCTATTTCTTATTTTATTTCTTTTCATAAATAAATAAATAAATTGATTGATATGCTTTTCTAGTTTATTAATTCTGATTTATTGTTGGATCATTTATGTACCTACCAAACCCTACATCCTAAACTCTTGAATTTCTCTATTTTTATATTAAAATCAGTTTGATTTGAATGGATAGATGCTATTTTTATTTGTTGCTTTCTGCTTATAATAATTCAGTTTATGATATTATATTATAATTTATTTGACTGAACTTAAAGTCATTAATTGAATGATGTCGATTTAATTGATTAAAATATATTAAATTTTATTACTTTTCAGATATATGAATCCATAAAAAATAAATTTTAAACCATATATCGAATATTCGAATTCTCACAAATTAAAATTCAAATGTGTTAAAAGTTGTGTGACTAAGATATTTGTAGGGGTGTAAACGAATCGAACGTTCAACGAATCGTTCTTGAACTGTTCGGTGAAAAGTTTGTTTATGTTCGTTTATTTATTAAACGAACGAACATGAACAATATTTTGTGTTCGTTTAATTAATCCATAGTAGGATTAAGTATTGCTTCATTCTTTAGAGGCATCCATGAAGATGCTTAATTCATTTTTCCTTTTCTGAACAAGAACTAAAATGTTTTCTTTTGGCTGTTTTCTTCTTTGTGTGTGTGGCTGTGCGTGTGAAGGTGAAGGACGACTCAATAATTCTTGCCAAGACAGTTGCTGATCAAGTATCTATGTGGAAGAGTAATCGGGGCCTGACCGATAAGATTTTCAATGACCATACTTGTTCTGGAGAAACCTGTAACTACTACCAAATCGGGGATGCATTTGTTTGTGATAAGACGGGGCAGGATCATGGTAGGAAACGTTTTTATTTGTTGCCAAATTATCACGCAACTTCAATTTATGGTTTCTATTTGTGTTCGTTCTTGTCTCAGTATGTGATGATACTTGTCGAGAAGTCATTTTGGATCCCAACAATGAGCTTTTGGTCTGCACAATTTCAGGCCACTGTTTTGATAGGTTACTGTCTCCATCCGAAATGGAATTGGATACCGTGAGTAGAATTTCTCTTAACTATTTATTTTTCTTGCAACATTAAACTTTCTAAGTTCCACGAAATTCACACTCTACATGCAACTGTACACGTTCAATAACACGATACATGCTATTAAGTTACAGGTTGCTGTATTTATTTCATTTTTCATCCATGAACAAGCTAGGCATCCTCAATTTGTGCTACATGTGGTGTTAGGGGGAAAGTTATGACTTGATCATCTTAAGCTTTTTATTGTTCCATTTTCCAACACCTGTATGCCCCTTGTCAAAAAAAAAAACTTTCAGGAACAGCAGCAAGCTGGTGGCACAGATGAAGCAGCAAGCTGAAACTTACTCGGATCTCATATCTTTCACATAATCCCTGGTCTTGACTGCATCTGCATGTATCTCATTTTCATTATACAATGCTGTGGCAGCAAGAGCTTACTTATTAGGATACAACTGCGAGGTTGAAAAGGAGCTGGAAGCTGCTTTGAGTTTTTGTTGATCCAAACAGGGTTTTAAAAAACGGTCCGCGACCACGATTTAGGCCGCGATATAGCGGTTTCGCCGCCGTCCGAGTTATCCGCGACGGCCGCAATAGCGCCCGCGACGGCCGCAATCAAGGTAAATCCGAAATAACCGTGTGGGGGTGTCTGGCCAAAGTGGGTTTGCCAGACTTTAAGAAGTCCACCATCGGACCTAAAACTGTTGATGCAGTGTTTATAGGGTATGCTACGAATAGTGCTGCATACAGATTCATGCTTTTACAAGATTATTCTATTTGTGAGTCAAGGGATGTTGTTTTCTTTGAAAATACTTTTCCTTTAAAGGAACCGAGAATGAATATTGAAACACAAATAGAATATATTTCATCCACTTCTTCTAGTAATCCTGCTAGGTCTTCTGAACAAATTGATTTCGAGCCTAGAAGAAGTAAAAGGCAAAGAGTTGAAACCTCTTTTGGACCAGACTTTATTACTTCCTTTATTTATGAGATAAATGATTTAGACTCCATTTCAGATCCTATAGCTCAAATTTTTCTGTTAGATGAGGATCCTAAAACTTTTGAAGAAGCTATAAGATCTATCGATGCTAGTTTTTGGAAAAGCGCTGTTAATGATGAACTAGAATCGATAATGTCTAATCATACTTGGGAATTAGTTGACTTGCCTAAGGGATTCAAACCAATCTCCAACAAATGGGTCTTCCGGAAGAAACTAAGGCCAGATGGTTCGATTCAGCGGTACAAGGCAAGGTTAGTCGTCAAAGGGTTCACTCAAAGGTTTGGTTTAGACAACTTTGATACATATTCTCCCGTTACAAAAATATCAACGATTCGTGTATTATTTGCACTAGCCTCTATTCATAAGTTGCAGGTACATCAAATGGATGTTAAGACTGTTTTCTTGAATGGAGATCTAGATGAGGAGATTTACATGGAGCAACCACTAGGTTTTGAAGCACCTCGTATGGAAGGCAAAGTCTGTAGACTCAAAAAGTCACTCTATGAACTTAAGTAGGCTCCTAAACAGTGGTATGAGAAGTTTCATAAAACTATTCTTAGTTTTGGTTTTGTTGTGAATGGTTCGGATGCTTGTGTGTATTCGAAGATGTTTGACACTGAATGTGTTATCATAAGTCTTTATGTTGATGAAATGTTGATTTTCAGTTCTAACATTGAGTCCATTAACAAAGTTAAAAATTTCTTGTCCACTAAGTTTGAGATGACAGATTTGGGAGAAGTAGATGTAATCTTAAGAGTCAAAGTTACCAAAACTGAGAAGGAATTTTCTTTATGTCAAGCACATTATATAGAGAAAGTACTAAAGAAATTTGACAGTTTTGATGCCGTCCCTGTTCGAACTCCTTATGACCCTAGCATACATCTAGTTAAGAATAAAGGAAGTAGCGTTTCCCAAACTGAATATGCTAAGTTAATCGGAAGCTTAATGTTCTTAATGAACTATACTCGGCCTGATATTGCTTATGCTGTGAGTAGACTGAGTAGATATACTCATAATCCGAGTGGTGAGCACTGGATTGCTCTTAAACGCTTACTGAAGTATCTTAAGGGTACTTTGGATTGGAAACTTGAGTTTGTTGGCTTTCCTGCGGTACTGGAAGGATATTGTGATGCCAACTGGGTTTCTGATAATGATGAGGTAAGCTCTACGAGCGGGTATGTTTTTACTTTGGGTGGAGCAGCAATCTCGTGGAAATCATCAAAGCAGACTTGTATTGCTCTTTCTACTATGGAGTCAGAGTTTATAGCTCTTGACCTAGCTGGGCAAGAAGCCGAGTGGCTCAGAAATTTGTTAGTAGATATTCCGTTGTGGGGAAGACCGACTCCTCCAGTTTCATTATTGTGTGATTCACAAGCTGCGATATATGTGGCTAAGAACCAAGCTTACAATGGTAAGAAAAGACATATTCGTATAAGACATGAGTCAGTTAGACACTTAATAAAGAATGGAGTGCTCTCTTTAGAGTATGTGAAGTCGGAAATGAACCTAGCAGATCCACTTACAAAAGGGTTAAGTCGGAAGCTGGTCCTAGATTCGTCGAGGGGGATGGGTCTAAAGCCCATTGGTTGAGGAATTCATGGTGGATACCCAACTTAGTTATCTAAGTTCCATGTGGTCAAATGAAACCATGTAAAGACTTATAGTGCATATTCCTAGTGACTATCCCTATGACGAATAATGTGTATGCCCAGGATGAGCTTATGTGCTCTTAATAAACTCATAGCCCAGGCTTTGGGTGGTCTTAGTGAGAAAGACTTGATGAATTTACCGATTTTGGTTGAATATCTATTCTTAATAAGTTCATAACCCAGAGTGAGTGGGTAGGAAATGATGAACTTACCTACAGAAATGTTGAGTTTGTTAAACTCTTAATAAATTCAAATCCAAGTATTTGGATGGTTCTAGTGAGAATGACTTACTGAATTTACCGATAAATGAGGTTGAATATTTATTCTTAATGACTTCTTAGCCCAGAGTTTGGGTGGTTCATTAATAATGAACTTGAAGAAAGTCAACATACCCTTTGTGAGGTTGAGCTATTATTAAAGCTCTTAATTATTTCATATCCCTTTTTAAAGGGTGGTTTATGTTTAGATAAACTTGATGAAATAACCTATGTAAGTGAGAAGGGTTAGCCGCCTTCTATGAAAAATGTTGGGCCATTTTTCTAGCACACTTACTAGAATCCTGAGGTAAGATGGCTAAATATATACTTTGTATGGAGGACTCAGGTGGATGAAGGGGTTAGTTGTGCGTTATGAGTTTACCCTGATCTTAGAAAGTTCCAGACTAGTTTCACTTATCTAAGAGAATGATTGCTCATCATCACTATGTACTAGTTCCAGATACGTTCACTAGTGCTTAAGCAACTAATCTCGCTATTGCTCTTCTGGAAAGTTTGTTTTCGAGTTTCAGAAGATTTCTTTCGCATTAGTGGGGGAATGTTGGTAATGCTCAATCCCACATAGTATTGGAAACACTATTGGGAATAGTATTTAAGGCTTGGCTTTCCCACTTCCTTGTTGAGTGATAGAGAACAAGGGGGACTCTCGCGCACCGCCGCCGTCGTCCGTCCGTCTCGTCTCGGCTCGGCTCGGCACGGCTCAGCTCGTGGTCGTGGTCATGGTCGTAGTCGTAGTCATGGTCGTGGTAATATGTGTCTTCGACACGTCTACGCGGATACTATCTTTTTAGAGAAAATTCTTGAGGAATTTCTCTTTGAAAGAAACAAATGGAAAAATGTGAAAGATTTCAACTGATATTTATAGGTTGATGAGGACTGTTTAATTTCAAATAATAACAGCTAGTTTATGAGAAATTAAACAGTTTTTCCTAAATTAAATAAAAAACGTTAAGATGTATCTGGACTGATTTCCAGCTTTGTACATAGGAGACAAGTTGTTAATATCAGGAGTTACAGGAGTTATTTGATTTAATTCCATGAGTTACATGATATAATTTCGGGAGTTATAACAGCTGAACAATGATGCAATGAACCTGGACTATTTTTGAGTCAGGTTCATCTAGACGTTTCAGCTGTTACAAAAGAAGAGATTTAATCCTGAAATTTTATGGACGATTTTAACCCTATTTCTAGCCTATAAATAGAGGGTTATATTCAGCTTCTCAACTCACTCTCAAACATTCACAATTCACTTACAAAAGTGTTTTCTACAATTCTCTCTGTGAGTTCTCTCTGAGTGCTTTCCAATCAGAAGAGCAATACCACTAGCAGTCCACTCCGGTTTTGGGTGTACGGAATTCAGAGCGATCGTGTTAACCTCAGGGGACGGTCCGCCTACTGCAGCGATTACACACATCGGGGCGAATTTGTTTCTAAGGCAGTGGTTTTTACCACGACACGGTTTACGAATTTGTTCCTTTTAATTATTGTTTATATTTCCAGTCAATACTAACAGTGTAGTTTTGCAGTTCATATATCCAACAATTTAGAAACGAATTTCATATACTGCAATCATGACAACACCTTTGAACAAACTAATCCCTGACCTTTCCAAGCTTGATGCACTTGATGGAAAGAATTATAGAAGGTGGTCCCAAAGAATCCTGATATTCTTCGGGCAGCTTGATCTTGACTACGTGCTACTCAAGCCACCACCTACCATGCCACCAACCCCAGCTGCCGGTAATGATGCGGATGTGGTCCTCAATGATGATGCCTTAGCAACCGCCGCCGCCGCTCTCGCTACCTACGAGAAATATGAGAAAGACAACAAGACGGTGCGAGGACATCTGCTCAGCCACATGTCAAATAAACTATTTGATATGTTCCTTAGAGAAATGAGTGCCAAGGAAATATGGGACACTCTCGACAAAAAGTATGGTGCAGACGATGCGGGCATCAAGAAGTACGTTGTTGGCGAATGGCTCAAATTCTAGATGACAGACGACAAGCCAATAATGGATCAAGTCCATGACTATGAGAACTTAGTCGCTGACATCATCGCTGAAGGGATGCAAATGTGTGAGGTACTGCAAGCCAATATACTCATTGAGAAGCTGCCCAAGTCATGGTCCGACTACCGCAAGTCTCTTAAGCATAAGAAGAGAGACATTTCGCTTGAAGAACTTGTGGGCCATATGAAGATTGAAAAAGCCAACCGTTTAAAAGATAAGCTTACTAATTCTATGAGTAATTTATCTTTTAAAGCTAACTTGGTTGAGTCTAAATTTAAGAAGATCATGAAACGTGGGAATCAAGACAAGAAGACGAAACCACAGAAGGCTACCAACTTCAAGAAGTCAGGAAAGGCCAAACTGGAAGAAAAGACGTTCAAGTGTTATGTATGCGGTTTACCC